TCCAATTCCTTTAATGTAGACATATTTCCTTAAAATTCCTTTAAAATTTGAAAAAAGTGGTTAAAATAAGATATAATTTTAAATAAGATATAATTCACATAGAGCAACCAGAAATAAGGAAAATGTGTTTAAGTGTATTGGTTAAATGCAACTGGACCCTGGCGTGCTTACAAATACACATCCATTCATCCTGGTTCACTCATGAGAACTAGGTAGGTGTTGTATTTTAATACCATCGTATGGTGCCAAACAAAGATGCACTTGTTACAGAACTGCCATTGGCAAAAGTGGCATCAGCCAAGGGCAAGTACTGTCATGGCCTTGCTCCCGAGTCAGCAGACTTGACACCTTCCTTATGCACACTTTATTCTTTAAACAACCTTCTATTTTCTAGTTAAACAAGCACTTGGGGGTAAAAGAATAAAACATGGTAAGAGTATTCTGACTGTCTCCCACTCATTCCCCTGAATATTTATTGAGCACCTGCTACAGGTTAGACACTCCCTTACGAGTTTGCCTTCATCTTCTTCTGGTGAATAGTAACCCAAGGTGGACTGAGAGTGCTGTTCCAAAGTTAACTAGAATATATGACAATAGGCACCATTATCATTTTCCTATTTTCAAGATGTATTCCCATTTTAACTCATATCTTTTGTGATAAAGGGTAATGCCTGCAGATAGGAATGGATTTCCTGGGGGCCCCCTCAACTGCCACTGCACAATATTTGTGATAGTCTGTGCTCATGCCTTGTGTGGCTGCTTACCCAAGTCTATTCGTGACAAAGGGTAGAATGAACCTAAGACCCAGATATTAAGTAGTGATATTGTAAAGGGGAAAAAAGGTCCAGGTGGTATGAAGAAAGAATTTATGCTAACCAGTCAATGAAAATAAATAAAGTAGCACACCAAATTTCTCTTTATTCATTGACCTCCAAACATAGTAAGATTACATTCAATTCTCTGTTTCTGTGAGACAGAGAAAGGTGACAATATTTATTCATTCCTTCAAGAAACAATTTTTGATTTCCTCATATATGCCAGGCACTGAGGATACTGCACTGAATAAGACATGGTAAAAAAAAATTGCCTTCTCCCCAAAGTTAGCCATCATGGAAATAAGACATGATAATAAGTGAGTATGGATTCAGCCCAATCCCCTAGACCCTCAAAGAGTAAAGAGAACACTGGGTAAACACACTGATGTTCCTAATAATTGGTGGCACTGAATAACTTTTGTTTCATCTAATAACATTTAAGTGCATTTTTAATTTATTGTGTGCTGACTGTGCACAAGACACTACTGGATGCTGCAAAAACATCCATCCATAACTCAGCAAGCGTGGGAAATGAGAAATATGTAGGTTAAACAACATGAAACTGCGATATTGGGTCTTTAAAAAAAAAGAACAATTTCTTATGGTTCGGCCTAATACAAGGGATTAAATAAGAACACTAGAAATGTCAAAAAGCAGAGAAAACTAGTTTCCCAAGGAGATTATAAATTGAATGAGTTTAAGGGAAAGAGAGACCACTGTGGGCTGAAGAAAGAGCCATGAAAAGGCACATGTGACAGCTGTGAAGCAGGTCTAGGAGAATGGCCGGGGCAGGGGAAGAATACTCCAGGGGATGCACAAAGGGAGGGAGGCCAGATCCTGAGAGTGGTTTGGGGAGACAGGGAGCAGATGAGCTGGGCTGGGGTTGATGGTGGCCTCCAAGGCTACGGCCAGCTCATAGAACAGAAGATCCTCAAATAATCTCAACTCAAGAAGAGCCCTTGGGCATGAACCTTGGAAAAATGACACTTCCTCTTCCTAAGGCCCTTACTCATTAGCTCACTATTTTTCTATTCAGTACAGTCCCTGTCTGCCCACTTCTCTCCATCCTCACTGCCAACACCCTCGTCCTCATCATTGCCCACCTGAACTACAGGAACCACTTCCTAAATGGACTCCCAACTTCCAGTTTCTCTCTCCTCCCAACAAGAAGAAGTCTGTTCTCCACACAGCATCAAAAGCACCCTTTTTATGGTACAAATCTGACCAATTGAGCCTTCATGGGCTTCCCATTTCTCTCGGCGTAAAAACAAATGTAAGGAGGATTTGAGGTGCCATGTGAGATGAAGCCTCTGCCCGCAACAGCTCCACTCAGACCTGGGCCATGTGTCCCTGCCCCAGGCCTGCTTTTCCTGCACTCCTGCGACCTTTATTCCTAGACTCAAGGGCCAGATTAGTGCAGAAAGCCCTGGAAGGCTCATCCATCTCAACTCAAGTATTCATTCTTTAAGGAAATTTTCACTGACCTCCCTGCCTTGAAGCTCTTAATAAAGGGGCAGATTCAGGCAATAATTCAATAACTATGCATCTGTCTCCTCTAGCTTACTATAAACTAGTCAGGGATGTGGATGACAGCCAGTTTGCTCATCCCCAACATCCAGCACAGCATTGCTAGTTTATAACAAAAGAAGTATTCAATAAATGATTGATGAACGAATGAATGAATAAACAAATCCCAAGAGAAATGTGATTGGGAAGCTCCAGCTATAACTGGAGGATCATTGTTTATAGATGGAGAATAAATATTATGAAAAAAACTATCAGCAAATGATACATTTGCCCCAGCTGACCAGCATCTAGCTATTACAGAATGTTGGTTTGACAAAAATCTCTTTATAAACACAGGGAAGCCACAAGGTAAATAAGATATTTGTGTTAAATATGGGCTACCTCAAGTATACACGATAGGACAATAACATTTCCTACAGGAATGAGTATTCACATTTATGTCAAGTGTAGCACACACACACACACACACGCACATTATATGAATGCTGTGGTCTCCACTGATGAGAGCTAACAGGCTTGGGACTGTGAAGTCTTCCTGTTACATGGCTGGGATGCAGGTGAAAGAAGCAGCAGTGATGGAGTAGACCTGGTTTCTACATGCCTGCTGAGTGACCTCAAAAAGTCCCTGGGCCTCTCTGATTATTAGTTTCCTCATTTACCAAAAAATAGACATAATTATATCCCCATTATAAGATGGTAGTTGGAATTAAATAAAATAAAATGAAACTCGTTTAAAACTGTCCAGGGGAATTCCCTGGTGGTCCAGTGGTTAGGGCCCAGGTTTGATCCCTGGTTGGGGAACTAAGATTCCCACATGCCACGTGGTGTGGCACCAACAAAACAAAAAACTGTCTGTAGCTAGCTAAGTTGTTATTATGACAGCTGTTGTAAATACTATCATTGGTAATATTACTATTACTTCAGTCATGCTTATTTTAAGTCATTTGCTTATATTCACTGACTTTGGTTCACTGATGACAAATACTAGACATAAAATGAAAAAAAAGTTTTATTTTTAATGTCACAAATAGTCTTCATTTTAATTTGTTACACCTGATGTTATTTCGGGTTTACAATTATAAGCACTTTCATGTATTTGTTAAATCCTAAAACAACCCTAGGAGATGGTTGTGTTGTATCTCCAACTCACAGATGAAGGAACTGAGGTGCTGAGCTTCAGTAACTTGGCTAAGATCTCATATCTGGTAATAGTAACAATAATAAAAGCAAATGTTTACATGGGGCTTACCCTGTGCCAGCATCATTCTAATTGCTTCCATACGTTAACTAATATAATTCTCCTAACAAAGCTATAAGGCAACTACCTTTACTGTCCCCATTTCACAGATGACAGAACTGAGGCCCACAGACGTTAAGTAATTTGTCCAAGTCACAGAGCTTTAAACCTCTGGTGGCAGAGCAGGAATTTAAAGCCAGGCAGGGCCTTCCCTGTTAATTGAATGCTATACTAACTTTCACTTATTGGTGGCCTTTATCCAGCTCTCTATCTGCCTAAGTGAATTTTCTAGGTAAATGTTTATCACCTTAGTAACCAAATATTACGTCAGACACACTTTTCTCAAATTAATTAAAAATTCCCGGTCATTTATGCAAAATACACTATATACTGGGTAACTTTTTCCTGCTGGCCCAGGATCAATGTTATGGCTGCTGTGCTTTATCCATTCTGCCTCTTGTTTTTATTTCAATTTTTGTAGGAGGGTTTTTTAGTCTCTCTTCTAGATATGTGCCATTTGATTGTGATTTTGTCACTTTGACTCTCTTGAGGGTTGTGAAGCTAGACTCCCTGTCAACTATAACTATTCCTAATACAAGACTGAATAAGCTCTGAGTTGAGCCTCCCCCATGGATGTGAGTGCATGACATTTATTAATGACTGTTGCAGATTTCAGCTGAGATGAAGGGAAGTTTGACTTCTAGATATGAATGAGCAATCATTTTACCAAACGAAAAACCATCTATTTTATTCAGTGCTCGTTTTCATGTTTTTTTTTAATCACACATGTCAGGCGGATATATGAGTACACATAGAGTTCACTTTCCTGTGGAGGACCAAGTCTCAAAAATGTAAGACTCATTTCCAAATCCAAGCCACATAACCTGTTCCCAAGGTGACACTTTCTATCCCCACACCCCCATCCTGCTTTATTGTTATCTCTTAACTTATTTCTCTCCCCCAGGTAAAACATAATAGAAACAGCTAACATGTACCTGGCACTTCCTATGTACCTACCATAGTTCTAGGAAATTTGTCTCTACTGATTCATGTAATACTCACAACAACTCCACTGTATATGTAAGGAAATTGAAGTGCCGAGATGAAGCAACTTGGCAGACGCCCTGTGTCCAGCAGTGGCAGAGCTGGAATTTGAACCCATGCACCTAGCATGAGTCTGAATTCTATGGACTCTGGGCTACCACCCATGGGATCCTGGGCTCTGAGGGCACAGGGACTTGGTTATGCTCCCTTCTGGACACCCAATAAACTTCTACCTCCTTTCCACCTCTCCAAGGGCTCCACTCAGTCCACTTGGACTCTGACCTCAAAGTCTGACCGGCTGAGACAGGCAGAGTGACATTCCAGGCCCTTCTTTCACTTACTTGAGACTTTACTGGTTACACTTTCTTTTGCCTCACCTTTATCTGGCAGAGCGCCCTGGATCCATCAGATGGTCAATAAGTTGTCACTGAATGAGTTTCTTACCTGTATCAGAACAAAGTTTGTGATCAAGTAGTATAGTGTGACTGGGTAGCAGGATGATGTCCTAGAAATTGTACTTGACTGAATTAAAAGATTGATTTTTACCTTTTGTGAGGTGACCATGGAAATTTCACAATTCCAACCTTCAGTGTTTCTTTTACTTCTTTTTTAAGACTATTTTTTAGGGCAGTTTTAAGTTTACAACAAATTTGAGAGGAAGCTACAGAGATTTCCCATATATCCCCTACCCCTACACCTACAGAGCCTCCCTCCTTACCAGAATGGTACATTTATTACCAAGAATGAACCTACAGGGACTTCCTTGGTGGCGCAGTGGTTGAGAATCTGCCTGCCAGTGCAGGGGACACGGGTTCGAGCCCTGGTCTGGGAAGATCCCACATGCCGCGGAGCAACTAGGCTCGTGTACCACAACTACTGAGCCTACGCGTCTGGAGCCTTTGCTCCGCAACAAGAGAGGCCGCGACAGTGAGAGACCCGTGCACCGTGATGAAGAGTGGCCCCCACTCGCCACAACTAGAGAAAGCCCTCGCACAGAAACGAAGACCCAACACAGCCAAAAATAAATAAATAAATAAATAAATAAAAGAATGAACCTACATTGACACATCATAATCACTCAATGTCCATAGGCTACCTTAGGGTTCACTCTTCGTGTTGTACATTGTGTAGGTTTAGACAAACATATAATGACATGTATCCATCATTATAGTGTCACACAGAGTATTTTCACTGTCCTAAAAATCCTTGTGCTCTGCCTATTCATATCTCCCCCACCCTCAGCTAACCCCTGACAACCACTGATCTTTTCACTGTCTCTAAAGTTTTACTCTTTCCAGAATGTCATGTAGTTGGAATCATACAGTATATAGCCTTTTCAGACTGGCTTCTTTTCTTAGTAATATGCACTTAACTTTCCCCCATGTCTTTTCATGGCTTGATAGTTAACTTCTTTTCAGCAATTCCATTGTCTGGATGTACCACAGCTAATTTATCCATTCACCCACTGAAGGACATCTTGGTTGTTTGCAGGTATTGGCAATTGTGAATTAAGCTGCTACAAACATCCATGTAAATGTTTCTAGTTTTTAGACATGTGAAAATTTATTAAGTATAAGGCACTTGATATGGGTTATACACATTTAGTCTTTAATATAATCCTATGAGGTGGGGGTTATTATTAGCCCATTGTACAGATAACGAAGCCACAGATAAGTGGCCACAGAGCTAAAATGTTGGAGCCAGGATTCAAACCCACGCATGTCTGACTCAAAGCCTATCTCTTGCAAACTGCACTGTACTCTCTCTCTTTCCCATGTTAAACTTATGCCATATAACAACAGCTACCATTAAAATGATTATGGCATGAAATACAGACTGTGAATTGAAATAGTTTCCAAACCAAGGATCTTGAAATTAAAGTAAAACCTGGAAGTTCAACATTCATCTTTTATAAGTGAAAGCTTTACTGGATGCTATGAAAAACAGTAACTTGTTTTAGAGAATCATTCATTTAACCAGTATTTGTTGAGCCCCTGCTACTTGCAGGGTGCTATGATAGACACAACAAATGGTGAGGAAGACAAACCTGGCCTCTGCGCTCAGAGAGAGAGTCTAGAGGAGGAAGCAGAAAAGCAATTAGGCAACATTCAGAGAATGACTGGGGAGTGAGAGCAGGGTTGGGGAAGGTGCAAAAGTGGAGTCCATCGAAGGCAGTGTGAGCAACAGGGGACATCAGCACACACAGGAGAGAATGTGGCATGTTCTGGGAACAAAGATGGAACTGCTGATGGACGGCCTAACTAAGAAGTGTGGATGAGGATGACAGGGAGTCTTGGCAGGAAGTGAAATGCCCTTATATGTTTTTTGGAAAGATCAGTCTAACAATAGACAGAAAAATGGATTAGATAGGGCCAAACTGCCATCAGGGAAGGTGGATGGGTGTTGAATTTAACCAAGAAACTGGTGGAAATTCTAATGCAGTGAGAAGGGATTTAGTGATGTGGGAATTGATTTGACAGCTATTAAGAAAGTATAGCCTTGATAACCGGTAGAAATGCAGAAGAGGCAGTAAGTGTCAAAGATATTGTCCAGATGTGGTTTTTGTATCTTGGTGCCCAAGACAGGGAATCCAAGGGCGAAGCACTCTGTGGGAATGGGGAAGATGGTGTTTAGGGTTGTGCACGTGTGGAGTTAACTCGCGGTTGGGTTTTGGGGTCTGGTGCTTAGTGGAGCAGCCTAGGCTGGAGGTGGAGGTTTTCAAGTAATCAGCTGACATGTGGTGCCTGAAGGCCTGGAACTGAACAGGCTCACTCACGTTGAGCAGAGAAGCAGAGGGACTGTCAGAGCAGCATCATAACATAAGGGGAAGGCAGAGAAGCGACGCCCATAAAGGGTTTTATGAAGGAGCCTCCGGAGTGTAGGAGCAGATTGGAAGAGACACACTCAGGCTTCCTGTAACCAGAATAAGTCCTTATGGAACTGAAAGGACCATCACGCATGGTTGATGGCACTTTCCCACCATCCATCCGCCAACACCAACCCGTCTGCTATGAGACAGGCTCACAGTGAATCCCGCACGCCCGACAGCCCGCACTCTCTGCCCTGCCTCCTGCCGAGGGGAGCTCGCTCCGAGGCCTCGGGCTGCTCCACAAGCACCTGCGGACATCTCCCTGGAGACCCTGCCTGAAACCGCGCGCCGGCAGAGGAACGCCCGCTCCGGCCCCACTCACCGCGCCCAAGGGAGGGCCCCTCCTTCAGGCCAAGCTCGAAATCGCCCTTCTCATCGTCTCTGCTACTTACTGTCACGCTGCTCTGGATCGGGGGCCCGTCCTCCTCTCCCCTAGCCCGCGCCTGGTCCCCTCCACCTCGGGGGCACTGCTGCCAGCAGCACCGTTGGTGCATCAATCCAATCCTCCTTCCGGCCACGAAACCGGAGCGTCCTCAGCCAATGCCGACACCTCTTCTTCCACCGGCAGGGCGCCCCAGCCAATCAGGGGTAGCCATGCTGCGGCCCGCCGAACGCCGTGGCGACGGGGACGCCGGCCTCGGGTTGCCGTAGCAACCGGAGACGCGCAGGGCCTGGCCGCAGCGCGCGCTGTCGGGTGGGGCTTGAGGGCCTGGCGGCGGCGGTAGCCTCCTCACCCCGACCTCGGGCTGCCTGCCACCCAGGGTTTCCTAAACGCTGTCGGTTTTTCTGGACTCGGTGTGCCAACCTTCAGTGTTTGAAATAAAATGGGTAGGAGAGAAAGCAGCTTCATTTTGGGGTGTTTAATTTCAAGAATTGCTATGGACTAAAAATCAGTTATCTTCCAAAGCAGATACTTAGTTTGAAAAGGACCAACGGTACCTGCTGAATAGCTTTCGTGTAACGTGGAGACAGTTTCAGCGACTCTGGCGTGAAAGTACGAGTGAGCTGTGTGGGACACCTGTCACTAGTTCGTTTTGTGGCACTCGGCAAGGCTCTTCACCTTTTGTGAAAGTCTGAAGCTTATTTTTATTGAAAAAATTTTAATTTTATTAAAGCTTTTTTTAAAAAAATACTCTTTACATTGTGAAGCTTCAAAAAATGAAAAATATTGAGCGCTTATTTTGTGCCAGGGACTGTTCCAGACTCTCCTCGTTATTTCACCTACTCTTCACATCATCTGCTTATTTTTTATTTATTTTATTTTTGGCTGCGTTGGGTCTTCGTTGCTGTATCCGGGCTTTCTCTAGTTGCAGCGAGCAGGGGCTACTCTTCGTTGCAGTGCACGGGCTTCTCATTGTGGTGGCTTCTCTTGTTGCAGAGCACGGGCTCTGGGCTTGAGGGTTTCAGTAGTTGAGGCACACAGGCTCAGTCGTTGTGGCTCACGGGCTTGGTTGCTCTGCAGCAGGTGGGATCTTCCTGGACCAGGGCTTAAACCCGTGTCCCCTGCATTGGCAGGCAGAGCCTTATCCACTGCGCCACAAAGAAGCCCCCATCTGGTTATTTTTCATCCTAGTTTAGAGTTGTAACATGGAGGCCCAACAGGGCGGAGCTGGTAAGTGATGGAAGCAGGGGAGAACCTAGAATTTCAATCCAGAGCCCAGTCTTAACCACCATGCTGTCTGTCCCCTGGACAATTTAATCTAGGACCTACTCAATCCCATCTTAATGTTGCTCCAAGTGCCCACAGGAATGTCAATTAGTGTGGTGATTCAATCTCCCAAAACCTGATTTAAAATGAATACAGTGAATGCTTCTGTGATGTTTCTCTCCTTTGAATAATAATGAAAAGTAGGCCTAATGGAATAACAACACTTAGGTTTGAGTACTTGAAAATACATATTTAAAACGAAAACAGTAAGGTACCATTTTGGAAATACAGAAAGGTGAGATGAAAGTCAAACTCAGGTGAATGGAGCAGAACTAATTATACTTCAGAGAACATAAAACCAGCAGAAATAATGTTACCAATCAAAACACAAAAAGTTGAGAGGGGAAGGCAGACTGATGCTGAGTAGAAAAAGTATTCTCTACAGACATTTTAAACATGATGCAGGAGACAAAATTACTCCTCTGAACTTTTCTTCATCAGAATATTGAATGTGCTTCCCACCTTTCTTCTCCTCTCTTAAAATCTTGCTTTGTCACAGCTTACCCTTCCCCCTCCCCATATCCTCAAGTCCATTCTCTAGTAGGTCTGTGTCTTTATTCCTGTCTTACCCCTAGGTTCTTCATGGACATATACACACTACCAAACGTAAGGTACATATAGCTAGTGGGAAGCAGCCGCATAGCACAGGGAGATCAGCTCTGTGCTTTGTGATCACCTGGAGGGGTGGGATAGGGAGGGTGGGAGGGAGGGAGACGCAAAAGGGAAGAGATATGGGAACATATATATAACTGATTCACTTTGTTATAAAGCAGAAACTAACACACCATTGTAAAGCAATTATACTCCAATAAAGATGTAAAAAAATGAAATAAAATAAAATCTTAAACCAATGTTTTGGCCTTCCCTGAATGTAACTGAAAATTGCAGAGATGATTATGAAGCATGGGACACACCGGGCTCTCCAGGAGAGAAGCACCACACCCACCCAGGGCCCACACCGTACTCTGTGAGAAATATACACGACCCCAGAGTGGTCACGCCTGCATCAAGCTCATGGCTGATGTGGTAGGGTCCAAATCTGTAAGACCTAACATCCCCTTCTGGTATTTTTGAATACCCTTTTTACTATCCTGAGGTGAATCCACAGATAATGTAAATTACATACTTCGGAAGTAAAAGAGTGTAACGTGTAACTATAAGGAACGAAAAAAATTAAGTTAAATAGGTATTAAAATAAATATTCAGAATCAACAAGAAGAAAAAAATAATTCATCGAATTTCTACAATACCCCTAGATCACTGGTCTAGGACAAAAAAACAAACAAAAAGAGGGCATTTTTTTTTTTTGCAGTACGCAGGCCTCTCACGGTTGTGGCCTCTCCCGTTGTGGAGCATAGGCTCCAGACGCGCAGGCTCAGCGGCCATGGCTCACGGGCCCAGCCGCTTCGCGGCATGGGCATGTGTGATCTTCCCGGAGCGGGGCACAAATCCGTGTCCCCTGCATCGGCAGGCGGACTCTCAACCACTGTGCCACCAGGGAAGCCCCAGACACACTCTTGTGTGGAGGCAGGAGAATGATCTTACAGAACACAGCACAAGGCAGAGCACAATTTGTAGAAAATGCAGAACTTAAATTGAGCTTTGCAAGAATAGCAGAGAAACAGAAAGGAAGGTTTTCCAAACAATAGGAATGTTTTCATTAAAAGCATAGAGGTAGTGAGATAAAGGTCACTGAACTGATACTGGAGAGATCAGATATACCTTAAGGAGCAAGATCAAACAAAAACTAGTGAGAAACTCACTATTTCCCTTCTTCTCCCCACCCCCAACCCCCACAAAAATCTCAAAGTTCTGTTGATGGGAATAGTAAATTGACAAATTCATTGTGGGATATCAGAAACTTTACAGTGCAGAAAACACAGGAGGAAATTGTTACATACGTGCCTAATGGAAAACAAACCAAGGCCTGTCATTAGCTATTACTAAAAAAATTTCATAATGAAATTAGCCATTAAAAACAAAAAAGCCTTGAGTCTATGAAAGTTCAGTATTAACATGCTCATTACATATCGTGTAATGTGATGTGTGTTTATTACATACCCCATTGCAAAATTCTATTCTAAACAGATGTGTTTTAAAATAGGGAAAATAATGGATCAGCCTATCTTAAAAGGCTTTAATTTCAGTATTTCTTAACTATCAAAAAATCATTGTGAAACACACACTATTTTGTTTCGTCTTCTTTTCTCACTGTTTCCTCTTTTCTGTCTTCTGCTTAGGAAAATTAGGAGGCAGGAAATAAAAATCACTTATTTTTCTCCAGCCCCTATCAGGTTCTCATGAGAAAGACATGCAGCTCTTCTAATATCAAAATAAAGACAATATTCAACAACTGATTCAGTAGACTTTTATTGATCTTTCAACTTCAATAACATCTCCAAAAATAGTTTTCTTCTAATATTATGAAACAGATTTGAAAGGCAGGATTATTCACATTACAGACTTGGTAGATACTTGTACTTCATATAGATGAAAAATATCACTTCTACATTTTAAATGTTTACTTTGGATTTTATTATAAAAGAAAATATTATCATTGTATAATTATAAAAGTCATAAAAATTAGAACTGTACTGTTATTATACCAAGCTATCAAATACTGTATAAATGAACAATAAAATTCAATTTCTATTTATTTAAATGTAGTAAACATTGGAAGAGAACCCCCCTACAAAAAAAAAAAGCTCTTAATATGAAAGTAACAAAAGAAAAGCCACAACACAAGAATCATCAACGCACAAAATTCTGATTAAAAAACAACTGTTAACAAGTACTCTAAGACAAATGTAGAAGTCAATATATGCTAATTAAATTTTTAAAAATGATCTTTAGACAATTCCATTTCCAACTATGTTTTCCTATTATCGACACTCAAATTACTTTTTGAAAAGTTAGAAAAGAACCAACTTTACATTAAAATTGCCAAATTTTGAAGTATGAACACTTTTAAATTTTGGATGTCCTTAAACTCTTTAAGTTTACTTTCTAAAAAAATAATTGTTGGACTAAACCAAAAGACAGTTCACATAGTTCTACTGCATATGATAACAATGATGTGATCTACATAAATAAATTTAAAACATTAAATTATTTAATTTAAACATTTTTGAATTACAATGTTATATTAATGGCTTACACATCCAAAATCTGAGCACTTTAAAACAGGATTCACATGTTACACTGTTGAGCACATTTACAGAACTTATATACATGATACAATCCTTTAAAAACAGCAAGCTCTGGTGTCATACCTCTGTTTCGGAAACCATTTTCCTTTTTACAGAATTTTGAACCTGCTTTTGCAAAAGGTAAAAGTTATAAAGCTATTATATATATACATAAACTTTAGGTATATGGAAGGAACATTTTTTTTAGATGGAGAAAACGAAAGTAATTTTGAGTGGTAAAGAAATCTGCTTTATAAATACATGTGTTAGCACATAAAAAATTCTGTCCTACACATTTTATATGCTTGGCAAATATGAACAATGATATGCCACAGCTTTTTTAAACAACTTGAGAGATTTATGATTGACAACATCATTCACACAAGCATACTCACATATACAACACCCATTAGAATGATCGTGTGCCTCACTTCATATATCTAATATCATTAGAGAACATACAGCATCATCCTTTTATCATAAGGAAGTTTTTAGTTCATTGTCTTCTCAAAAGCGGCAATTTTAGAGTGAAATAGCATTCAAGTGAAAGTGAATTTCAGATGGTCAACATGAGGATGTATTACAGTCCTTGTAAACAGATGTCTATAAATAAATAAAATAGGTGGAGGAAAGAATATCCTGAGGTGGCCCTGCGGCCAGGGTACTCAGTAGCACTGAGCTCCATCCTGGAAACCAA